AGGGCCTAGCGTACCTGGGGCCTGGTACACCCAGGGTATGGGCCGTGGCTCTGCTGGGGCTCGAACCCAAAACCTTCTGCGTGTAAAGCAGACGTGCTAACCACTACTCTTTGGAACTACCCCTGGGATTGTTTTCTTAATTTCTCTTTCCGATAGTTTTTATTAGTATATAGAAATACAACTGATTTTTGTATATTGATTTTGTAACTTCAACTTGACTTGAATTCATTTATTAGTTCTCATAGTGTTTTGGTGAAGTCTTTAGGGTTTTCTATATATAATATGTCATATGCAAATAGTGACACATTTACTTCTTCCTTTCTGACTTGGATGCCTTTTATCTCTTTTTTCTTTTCTTATTTTTTTTTTCTTTGCTTAGTTGCTCTGGCTAGGACTTCTAATACTATGTCAAATAAAAGTAGTGAGAGTGAGGCATCCTTTTCTTGTTCATGGTCTTAGAAGAAAAGTGAAGAGCTTGCCACACAATAAGCATTATGTAAGTGCTAGCTACAATTTTTGTTGTTGTTTTGGAATTAAGTTATTTCTAAATTTTTCTCTATTATAAATAATGCTATAAATGAACATCAGTGTTTGTAAATATTGTATCAATTTCTAAATATTTCTTTAGGACAGACTTTTAGAAGAGACCTTGCAGGATCAAAGGGTCTGCACTCTTCAGAGCCTCCTAATATGTAAGACAGCTTTCCAAAATTATCATGTCAATTTACATACTCCCTATAAAGCCACCAACATTGAATATCATCTTTTTTTTCTACTCGTTGTCAATTGATAGGTAGAAAATGACTTAATTTTTGTGTGAGGTTAAATATTTTTTATGTTATTAGCCTTTTTTATTCTATGAATTGCCTCTTCATGTTCTTTTTATATTCTCTTTTTTTGACATTCAATATTTTCTTTTTCTATTCCCTTGTAGTTTATCTTTATCTTATTTTTTTCTGTATGAGTTATTTATATAGTAAGGATTCGATGTTTGTCATATTTCATAGATACTTTCCTTTGTTTTCATTTCCCCATTTGTCTATGATTTTGACTTACAGAAATTTACATTTTTTACCTTGCAAATCCATTCAATTTGTGCATGTGCGTGTGTGTGTGCGTGTGTGTGTGATTTTTTTTCCATTTTAATGCTTACAAATTTTTTCCCATCCTAAAAGCAGATTAATGATCACATCATTTTATTTCTTTTAGATTTAAAATTTTTTTTATAATTAGCTTTTTATATATCTCAAATTATTTTAATATATGGTTAAGATGAGAATCTAACTTCTTTTCATTTAGTGTAATAAATTATAATACCTTTTCTCATACCTTGAACTTTTATACTTAACTACGGTTTGTTTCTTGGCCAGGCTTATGTTCCATTAACCTTGTCTGATGCTTTTGTGCTTTATAATACACTTTCATAGCAGACAATGTTGAGATTCAAGCTTTTTGGGCTTGGAGACCCCATAGGCTTCCTAAGTTATTCATTCTGGTTCATTACTTTGAACTCAGAAAGTTCTCCTCATCTGGCCCTGCTCGTAAGCACATAGAGCTTTTCCTTCTAATTGTTCTACTCTCTGTTTTATGAATCACACAAACCATATGAATCACATTAACTTTTGTATATTTTCAGTATCATACTTGAGTTAACTTTATCATTCTTTAATCCTTGTTTTCTCCTCTTCTCATCCCAGTTTGTTTTCTTTGCCTATATGCTCTCATTCCCTAGCATTTCTTCATCCCAAGTCCGTGCATTGACAGCTGTTTCTCTGAATCTGTTCTTTGGTTAAAGTTTTTAAATTAACCAAACTATCTTTTGACAAAAACATTTTTATTTCCATGTTTTACTGCAACCATTTCTCTCTTTGCAGGTCCTTTTCTATTCTCATGTCTTTTTCTCATTAAAGCAAAACTTTTAATATTTCTTCTCTAAGCCAGGGCTTAAAGAGAAGTCAGGCTCTTTCATACTCTTTGTCTTGAATGCCCTCTGGTTCTGTTGGAAGAACTACTCACCTTTCAAAACCAGCTCAGATATTGCTTCCTCTGGGAAGCCTTCAGGACTAAATTTAGTCACTCCCTTCTCTGTGTTCCCATTCTATGGATCACTCTTACGGCATCTCATACACTGCAGTGTAATTAAGTGTTTTCCCAGCCATCTTCCTTGCTAAGCAGTCTCCTTCCCCTTTGGTGTCAGGGAAATGACTGATTTTTCTTCGTATCCCTAGCTCCAGCTCAGTCCCTGCATATCCTAGATGCTCCCTCAGCAGACCCAGGATTGAGGGAGATTCGGTGCTGTACTGAAGGGCTTTCAGAGAGTCATCTTCTGCCGTTAGATGTCCCTCCCTGGCCTTGACTTTCTGGCCTCACCTCTCTTCCTGCTAATATCTAGTCGGTACAGGAGACTGGCAGTTTTTTTCCTATAGGATTTAGAAATACAGAATGTTCAGCCCTTTACACTTTTAAAACGTAGTTTGGAAGTTGAAGCCAAGGCCATGCCTTGAGGGAATTGGGGTCCAGGATTCATCAAGCCAATTGAGGCAGTTGTGTTTGGTTGTAAATATTGGGAATGTGGGAGGCTGGAAGTGTAGGGTAAGATGGGGTTCCACCCAGAGGCAGAGTAAAATAACCTAGGTCTAGTTATACTAGTAGCTTCAACTAAAATCTGATGAGACTGTTATAGACATTTGTCAAAATAATACATTTTAGAAAGATAATTGATAATGAAGCAAATTAATATATGTAGATTAATTTCCCATTATTATAGAAATAATTTTTTCAGTTCAATTTTGTTTCCCTATTTAGATAAAACAATTTTCTGATATAGAACATCCAAAATGAATTATGAAACACAAAACAATATTTAATATCATTCCTTTAGAATAAAATCCATAAAATATTCTCTCAAAAAAAAAAGATAAAAGAAAAAAAAGAAAATGAAGAATGTACTACCCCATCCAGCCTGCCTCATGTCCCCTTTATCTTGCTTTCTTACTGTTCCTTCTTGCCCTTCTCTCCCTTCTACTGTCCTTCTTAGATTTACAAAAAAAGAGCCCCATGATACAAAAGAAACCGTCTTCCACAAAATCCCCCAACAAAAACTAATCCTGAGGAAGTTCATTCCAAAGGTTGTGATGTAAGGTGAGGTGATAGAAAACCCCTTCTCCCTACCTCTTCCTCTCACCCATCTCTGAGAGGATGGGGATGGAATTGGAGAGAGAGGTGGGAGAGAGGCAGAACAAAACCTAAAGACTCCTATACTTGTGTTAGGTACTTGTATTAGTTGGAATGGTCAAGGAGGAAAGTTTAGAAGGAAACCTACCATCCAGTTAACGTTCGAACCTTGAAGAGAGGACTGGGAAAACGGGGAAAGAACATGAACTTTTTTTGCTTTCTCTTTATACACTTTTTGTATTGTTTTACTTACTGAAAAAAACAAAGGACCCTAAAATACAAAGAATATATAATAAGGCTTGATTTAAAACAAAAAGGAAATGAAGCCTGGGGCACAATGGAGGAAGCAAAAGAGAGAAAGGGAGAAAAGACAAATGACAAGGGTACTAAAGAGTAAAGATATTTCAAATGTAAGACTGTATGTAAAACTATCACTTCCCCTTCCCTTAGTATTATTTCTTGGTAGTGAAAACATCTAAATTTTGTCATTGTTGTTGTTGTTATTTTTTAATAGTGAGAACCTTGGTTGGGGTGGGAACCAGGTGAGAATAGCTGGGCATTTGAGAAGGTGAGAGGCCAGGGAGGCATATGTATAACACTGTTGCTGCTAAAGACCTGCCCTGCCTGCTCAGCCAGGAGAGCCAGGTGGACGGGGTTACCGTGGCTGGTGAAGGTGTGGTGCTGGCCGTGGCCCAGCAGGTGGCAGCACAGCCCACTAGTCCAGGCGGCTGCGCACCTTCTTGGCGGTGGAGATGGAGGCACCTCCTTGCAACCCTACCCTGGGCCCTTATTTAGCATACTTTAGTTTTATTGGTTCACACCGAAAAGCGGAAGTTCTGCATCCAAAGGCTCCTCCTCCTAGGAGGTTTGAGCAGCTGGTAAGGTATGCAGGTAGAAGGGAGGGCAAGGCCTCAGGAAGCAGAGGATAGATTCTGGGATTTTGTGCCCTGCCTTCCCTTAAAACAACTGAGTGGATAATATATGAAAGAGAATCTTGGTAGCTATTTATTTTTACTAACATAAGAAGTACTACTTTTTTTTCTTTTCGGTTCAAAGATATGCAAAGATAAAAACTAAAAATGGACCATAACCTCTCTACCAAGATGACCTCTTGACAATAAAGAATGATAGGAAAATAAGACTTGTTTAAGGTTTGAAAATTTGAACTACAGAATGGTATAAAATGAGTAGATGTTTTCCTCCCCTCCACTTTCAGCTTCTCTCCAAAGGAAACCACAGAATCTTTTCTTTTTCTTGTGAAGAGGACTTGAAGATCTTTCTCGTCAGCACATACAACTTCTATCGTCATAATTTTTATAATGAGTGTCCCTCATGATGAAGATTTTGGTTGGTTCCTGTTGGGAGCCAATATAAATAGTGGTGCAGTAGGCATCCTTGTTCAAATTCCTAGGAGTGGGTCAAAGGGAAAGTATATTTTAAAATTTGGTGGTGAAATTTTCCTCCAGGAAGGTTGCCCCACTTTACTTGCCCACCAAGAATGTGTGACAGTGCCTGTTTTCATGTGCCTACTGTAGGGAACCTGCCCCTGCTGGGAACCCTTTGACATCCATGGTGTTGAGAGAGTGCTCAGTAGGAAGTAGGCCCAGTCTCTCTGCTGCTGGAGGTGGCAGCGGGCTCCTTCTGTGGCCTTTGCCTCCTGCACTGCAAATCTCAGTGATTGTGAGATGACTATCTCAGTGTGCAAGCCAGCAACCTATCTTTTAGGAATGGGAAGCATTTTCTGGATTTCCCTTGTCACTTTAGCAAAATTTTTCTGTCCGTCTCAAAGTGAGAGAGTGAATGACAATGTCTTCTGACTCTTCTAGGTGAAGAAAGCATATAGGCAGAAGGCCCTTTCCTGCCACCCAGACAAAAATCCGGATAATCCCAGAGCAGGTGAGACTCTCCTAGGCATGTAGAGGAGGCCAGCTCACCTGGGCATGGTGTTTTTCCCACCTCTGCTCCCATGAGAGTGCTGCGGAGTGCTGGCCCACACAACCTGGCTTTGCATGTTAGGGACAGCTGATCAGTTGCTGATGTGCTCACCCTTCCTTGATGGTCTGCCATCTGATGATGTCGGCTTTTCTGCCAGCCTGTGGCTTCTTTAAGGTGATCTTTGGAGGGAGCACACCATCACCACAGCTAACTTGATTTTTCTCTCTCTCCTTATGTTTAGCTGAACTCTTCCACCAGCTTTCTCAGGCCTTGGAGGTACTGACTGACTCTGCCGCTAGGGTAAGCACACCCTCCTCTATCAGAATTGTTTCCCATGGTTATAGACCACTGTGGCGCTTCAGCCTCGGTCCTCCATACTCTGCCAGGCGGCATAGCCCTTGTTGTCCCAGCCTGAAGACCTGGTCTGTGGGCTGCCTCCTGATGGCTCTGGGGCTAGGTGGCAGGGCCAGGAAGGTGACTGGGCCCTGTGCTTGTTTTCTGGCTGACTGTTCCTTGGTGTTCCTTTCTCCTGCCAGGCTGCGTATGACAAGGTCAGGAAAGCCAAGAAGCAAGCAGCAGAAAGGACCCAAAAACTTGATGAGAAAAGGAAGAAAGTGAAGCTTGGTAGGTGACATTGTGGTGCTGGGTAGCCTGTGGTTTCCCTGGGCCATTTTCATGCAGCTCTCTCATCTCTCTTCTTGGAGCTTCAGTTTTAGCAACTCAGAGCCTCTTGGCTCCGGCTCTGGGCAGCCTATTCTCAGGGGTGGCTTCTAAAGGACACTCTCAGGAATAATATCAATGATTAGATTTACTATTAGCTAAGCACTGTGACAAAGATTTTATTTTCTCCTTTAATTATCATAGTGATCCAGGGAGGTAGGTGCTAAGCCCATTTTTTTTGTAGACAAAGAAGCTAAGGCACCACAAGGATGAGAACATGCTGGAGCTGGGATTTAACCCGCACAGTATGAGTAAATCTGTGTTCTTGTTCAGCATGCCATTTAGGTCTTTTCATTCGTCCCACCCTTATTTCTACACAGAGCTTTCACTCTGAGAAGTCCCCTCAGAAGGATCCAATAAGGGCCAGGCATTCTTTTATTTCTGAAATATATTATGTATATTATAACATCTACCCATTTCAAGTGTACAATTCAATGATTTTTAGTAAAATCTGTGTTCTTGTTCAGCATGCCATTTGGGTCTTTTCATTCGTCCCACCCTTATTTCTACACAGAGCTTTCACTCTGAGAAGTCCCCTCAGAAGGATCCAATAAGGGCCAGGCATTCTTTTATTTCCGAAATATATTATGTATGTTATAACATCTACCCATTTCAAGTGTACAATTCAGTGATTTTTAGTAAATTTACTAAATGGTGCAACTATGACTGTAAATCAATTTTAGAACATTTTCATCACCCCAATAAGATTGGTCCAGACATCCTTCACTCAGTTTTCTCCCTTCTTGCCTGTTTGGTATCCATATATTTAGTATGTAAATATACTATCCTAGTACATCCATCTCTCTATCAAAAACAAACAAACAAACAAACAAAAAACCCTGGAGATTTCAGGTAAATAAAGTGCACAGAAAAGAAAGCAGTGAGTCCCAATCCTGAGAGAAGAATTTGTCATAGCAGCATCCTGGCACAGTGCCACAAGCAAGTTTCTCTTGGAAGGTGGGAAGGGCTCCAGGACCTGGGGTGATGTCTTCACACACAATCTGCCATCTCTGTACCTGGGTCTGCAGGGAGGCCTGGTAAATGTGAGTTGGCAGGGAGGTGAAGGAGACAGTGGCAACCTGAGCTCAGTGGTGGGAAAAGCATCAAAGACAAGGTAAGGTCGCAGGTCAGGCTGTGGTGCCAAACCACAGGAACAGAGGCCAGCAGTTCCACCCACTGGCATCCCTGACATATGGCCCTGGGCTGCTGACATAAGCACGTACCCACACCCTGTTCACTGATCAGAGAACCAGCTTGGTCAGTGTGAGCTAACTTAATTCTTCCAGACCCCGGCCACTCAGCTGGAGCCTATACTTCCTCCATGCTGTGACTTTTCTCAATGGAAATTAATTCAGGAACACATGCACATGGAGGGAGGAGGCAGAGTCACTGTATGGTTTCATCTGACTGGGGAAGCAGCCAGAACTGGGTGGGCTGAGGCCATATAGAAGCTTCTTAGATCCGCCATTGGGTCATTCAACCCTTGTGCCTAGACCTGGAAGCCCGGGAGCAGCAGGCCCAGGCTCAGGGCAGTGAGGAAGAAGAGGAGAGCCGGAGCTCAAGGACGCTAGAGCAGGAGGTGAGTGTCTAGGCACACGGGCCTGAGGCCATCTGCAGGAAGTGGAAGAGGGTGAACCTAAGTGACTGTAGTGGCTGGGGAGGGCGTGACCATCCCACCTTCTTCTGTGGGATCTGGGTAATCTGTCCCACCCACAGGTTGCTGAGCCCTAGCTTGCAGGTGGAACCTCCCAGGGACCTTTACAAGGTGAGCCAACCTGGAATTGGATCTGCACAGAATTGTCACCCCCAACCTCCGCTCTGCAGATAGAACGCCTACGAGAAGAAGGTTCCCGGCAGCTAGAGGAACAGCAGAGACTGATCCGGGAGCAGATACGCAAGGAACGGGAACAGAGGTTGAGAGGTAAGAGTCTATCATCCCCACTCACCTCCCACTCTCAGGCAACTCCAGATGCCTAGAGTGGCCATACTGGCTGCTCGGTGGAGACACTGTGGAGGCTTTCACCAGCTGGAACCCTGGGGCATGCCACTCGGACACGTGCCACCTGTCTTCTTCCTACCAGTCCTCTGGGGCCTATTTGCTTTCCCTCTGCCTGGGCTCTTCTGGCCTGGTATGCCTTAGTCCCAAGCACAGCTGCTCTATTTTGGAGCATGTCACTGGGGGGAAAGGCTCTGGGATACTTTGTTTTAGTAGAACTATATGGTCTATACTTCTGCCTCTTGTCCCCGGAAGATGTTCACAGGTCTTCGTTGGCAGAGTGCTAACCATGGTCTTCAGGCAGCTGGGCGGACCACTCCTGGGGGTGGGGGTGAGATTGCCTGTGCCTTCCCCATCACGCTCCTCAGCAGCAGGCAGATACTGCCCTTGGTCAAGAGTGACCTTCAGGCCCTAGGCTGTGTCTCCTTGGGAGAGCTTTCCAGCTCCCTTGTACTCTACCTTGCTAATATCCCCAAACTTTCTAGGAAAGGCAGAAAATCCTGAAGGCAAAGGAACCCCCAAGCTAAAGGTGAGCCTGCGGGATCCATGGATCACCTCACACTACCCCTCTCAGCAAGAATAGATGCTTTCAAGAGTTGTGGTGGGGGACGCTGAACCTCTGGGAGCCAGCACCACTACCCACATCCTTCCATCCTCCCACTGCCCGGGGGTCAGGATGGCCTCTCAGAGCTGGAAGGCTGCTCTTAGCCCTGATGGTTGTGGGAAACACTCCCCAGAAGCCTTCTAGGAAGCATCTTATAGGTCTAGAAACATGGCTGTGGGTTAGTATGCCTCCCTACTTATCCATTTTTCAAGGGGAACACATTTTAGGGGGTGCTTCCTAGATTACTTTTGCTTCGAAGACTAGGAGTATGTCTTCTGAGACTATAAAGCTCAGGTGTGTGTTTAGGCAAAGATCGGTGTTCAGTAGTGATGCCCACTGTTACCTTTTCAGCTAAAATGGAAGTGCAAGAAGGAGGACGAGTTAAAAGGCGGCTACTCCAGAGATGTCCTTCTGCGGCTTTTTCAAAAGGTCTGCCCTGCTCACTTCCTTCTTTCATCTCTGTCCAAACCCCAGCATCTTCATGCCTTCCCTTCCCTTAACACTTCTACCTGCCATTTTTTTTTTTTCCCTGTCTTATAGACCATAGGACAGTCTAGCTTCTCCCAGACCATGGCCGTCCTCTCACTTGTGTTGCCATGTGCCCCCTCCAGCCTGTCTTGCCTTCACTGCTCAGGTCTGCTCTTGCCATCCTTAGAAGCAGAGGGCTTAGCTGAGTGTGTGGGGAGAGAGGAGGTGGGTATCTGGCACAAAAGCCCCATCCTCTTCACCACCTTCAGTCACTGAAGTAGTTAATGCAACTCCCCCATTCTAAGTCTCTAGTCTTTTGCCCAACTCTCCTTTGCTGTCTTTCTGCATTCCTGGAAGAAAATCCTTTCCTTCCCACCTCTGCTCTCCCCTCCCTGGGAACCTAGCAACAAGAAGTTATCCCCCATCTGAGCAGGCCTTGGTGGGCTTCAGGCTTGTCTCTGGCGTGAGCTGTCCCTTCTGTGTCCCCACAGTATGGAGAGGTGCTCAACCTGGTGCTTTCCAGTAAGAAGACAGGCACTGCTGTGGTGGAGTTTGCAACCGTCAAGGCTGCGGTGAGTGCTGCGTGAGGCCTTGGAGAGGCCACTGCTGGCCCTGCTATTTCAGGGTAGGGACCCAGTTCTGTGAGCACCCTGAGCTTAGGCATCTACACTCCCATGGGATCTCTGGGCCAGCTCAGAGCCAAGGTCCCCCAGAGGTCCCCCAACTCCCAGAAGCACAAGCACAGTGGATGAAGGGATGGGTGGGAGAATGCTCTGGGATGGAGAAGAGCACAGACTAACTTGCCTTCCTGCTGCTTAACCCTGCACCCTCCACTCTCCTGTGGGAGCTGCATGCCTCCAGGTTGGGCGCCCCACACTACCTTTCCTCCCTTCCACTCCCCAATCAGAAGGCTTATTGTTTACTCCCGCACACACTGCCTGACAAGAAGGGTCAAAGCTTCAGCACACTGTGTGGGAAGGTTGCTCAGTTTTGCTTGGAGGACGGGAGTACAGGTTCTGGTACTTTCTGTGGGAGTAGAGAGAGCCACTTTATAGCCGATTGTAGTGATGGGGCTAACTGGATGCTGTGTTGGGGCAGGAGCTGGCTGTCCAGAATGAAGTGGGCCTGGTCAATAACCCTCTTAAGATTTCCTGGTTGGAGGGACGGCCCCAGGGCCTGGAGGACCCCAGACACCCAGGACTGTCACAGGTAAGGAGCCAGGCCTCACTCTGCTAGGTCTGCTCAGGGTTTGGGGGACCATTTCCTGTTTGGGTTTTTCTCAGGGCCCTTTTCTTGAAAATTCAGGTCATTGGGAGTGGGATGAGTTTGGCAGGTCGACCCATCAGAGCAGGAGGACTGTGATTCCATGCTGACCTCTTTTCCTCCCTTGAGTGCCAGCAGGTCCCACCTCGCACCTAGGAATCCTTAGACCTTACTTTCCTTCCACGTCCCGATCTCCTCTTGGAGGCCTTCATCACGCAAAGGCATTTTCCAGCCTTTCCTGGCAGTCTGCTTGGTTGTGGTGTGAAGTATTTGGAACTTAGACAACTCAGTGCTGCAGGGAAGGGGCAAAGGACACAGGCAGCTGCCCAACTCGTTTTCCAAGTGTGTCTGTGGCTGCCCCAGATGACCTGCTGTCAAGAGGCAATATCTCTTCCTTAGAAATAACACTGGCTACCTTGCCGACATCAGGGCACTCACTGCCCAGATGCCTGACTCATGGCAAAGCACAGACTTCAGCTGACATGCGCCCAACACTAGCTCTTTGTCCTCACAGCTCCATTAAGGCTTTTGTTTAGCAACACACACACACACACACACACACACACACACACACACGATGGCCCTGGTCACACCTTCCCCCACTTTGGTCAGACAGAGAGCTTTGGGGCCAAGAGCTCTCCCTTCTCTGAAATGGCCTGGGGTCTGTGTGGGAGCCTCATGCTGGTGTATTCAGTCCCTTCTGTGAAGAAAATGCCTCTCCATGAGTCAGCAAGGCCTTTGCTGTCATTGCCTCAGTCATGCCACCCCTGCCATGAGAACAGGTAGCTCTCTCTGGGAGTGTGTCCTGGACCCTGGAAAGAGGAGGAAAAGGAATTGGTCTGAGCTCCTCTCGAGACCCTTCTTTAGAGAGCTCAGTCCCCCACTTTTAAGTCCCAGCATTTCACAGCCCCAGATGACACTCCACAGGCCGTGTCATACAGAACTTTATTCATTATCTCCTGCATCCAGAGGGGATCGCTTCCTCTGGGCACATCCACACAGGAGGAAGACAGAAGCCACAGGTTCGAGCTTTGGAAGCAGTGTGCATCGAAGCTTCTCTCTTCTCCTCTGCCACACTTGGAAAGTCCTGGAGTGTCGGAACCACATGGCCCAGCCATCCTGGGCTTTGGTTTCAAGTCTTTTGGCCAGGCCATAGGGTAGGGCAGTGGTACAGTGTGTGTCCTTGACCCAATGGGCTCAGCCCCAGGTGGGAAGCCCCCATCGGCAAAGGGTTTAGGCAAAGCAGAGCTCCCCAGTCCTGGTGGAGGATTCTTGAGACCAGCTGTGCCTCTTCATGGTAACAGCTACAAGTTTCTTGTCCACCCCCTGGTCAGGTCTTCCGATATTCTCATGAGGGCAGGAAGGAGAGAAATCTGCCACTGTTTTTGCTGCATTTCCCAAGGGCTCCCATCAATAATTCTGGAAACTCCCCAAAAGCAGCCCTTTCAAGCTGTGTCTGTGCCTTCAGTTGGCATTCCCTGGAGCCACTTTCTTCAGGCACCATGGAGTGCTCCAGGCAGCTATATTGGCAGCTTGAGTCTCTCATGCCCCCTTTCCTGTTAATGGTCTGTGTGGCCTTTTTCCTGAGCTATAATCTCTATCTCTACATGGCTCGCTGTTCTTACTCTGCCAGCCCCTCCTTTCCATTGCAAGCCCCTATGCTTCCCCCTTCCCACCATGCCACTGCTGACTCCAGGTCGCGGTCTAGGCCAGCGCTATCCAATAGAACTTTCTCCAGTGAAGTTAATGTCCGCCCTGTACCGTCCAATGTGGTAGCTGTTAGTCATGTGTGACTATTGAGCATTTGAAATGAGGCTAGTGCAGCTGAGGAACTAAATTTTTATTTTACTTAGTTTCAGTTATTTAAATATAAACAGTTACATGTAGCTAGTGGCCACTATATTGGACAAGGTCAGGCCTGTCTCATCCCTCTCCCCTCAGGTTTCCCCACTTTTCTATTCAGCCTAAGTTGGACCACTTTTGCCTAGACTTGTCCTGTAACCTCTCTCTGTTGATAGTGGCTTCAGAGGGGGTTGGAGCAGGGCACCCATCTGATCTGTCCAGTCTGTGTGTCCTTCGCTCCCTGACTCGCACCTTGTGCTGCTGTCCCTCTCTGTTGGCCTCTGCCTGGTCCTTGGGGTTGCAGGCATGACCTCCCTTTCCCAGCCTGGCCAGCTGCCTTCAGGGCTTCTGTTAGCAAGTGCCCCTCACAAATTCCTAGCTTGCCTCTGTGTCTCTTTCCTTCCACTCTGGGGTGATCTGGAGGACTGTTGGGGACCCAGAGGGCAGGCAGGGCCCTGAATTGCTATCCCCACCTTTTTCTTACATGATTGTACCTTCCTTCCCTGGTCCCTAGGCTTCCAGCTCTTGCAGTCACCCTATCTCTACCCACCCTCACCCCATTCAGAAGCTGGGCTCACTGGGAAATTGCTCTCTCAGCATCTGTAGAACTTCCTCAAGAAGCGAAATCCCCAGGTCCACTTTGAAGGAGAAGAAGGGATCACTAAGGTCTGGAGCAGGTGTCCTCTGGAAGGGAGAGGTGTCCAAAAGGTCCTCCTCAGAGTATTCATGGAGGGCGCCCCCCAGGGAGAGCGCCGAGGGCAGAGTAGCCGAGTAGGCAGCGGCGTAGGCAGGTGGGGGCTCCAGGATGTTGGGGCAGCTGGAGCTCTCTCGGTAGAGGCGTGGGGGTTTGGGTGGGGCCAGTAGGGTGGCCCGGGGCTGCTCGTCCCCCCACAGTGGCAGGCGCCGGCCATCCGGCCTCCCTCTCAGCTCCCGGACTACCTCTCGGTTGCTATACTCCTCATGGTCCCCACCAGCTGTACTGGCTTGGCTCAACACACTGCCCTGTCGCCGGAGTCTCCTTGGCCGCCCCAGGCTCAGCCGCTTGAAGAAGGAGGCATTGCGGAAGGAGCCTTTCCGCCAGGTTTCCATGGGACCCAGAGAGCTGGCAGACCAGCCCGGTACCTTGCAAGCCCAGTTTAAGAGTGGCTAGGGACGATCTGGTCCCTGCTGGAGCAGTGAATGACAAGAATTGGGGAGACAACACATGTGGGCTTCCAGCAGATGCCTCCGGCTTTCTGTTCAGCACAGCTCAGGCCAGCATCTTGGATGGAAGAGGAGAGCAGAGTGGTGTGAGTTCCTGGCAACAGAAGTTTCCCAGAGGGACAGGAGTGGCCTGGTTACATGATAGGGCAGTGGAAAAAAACCCCAAGAAGAAGTAGCAGCACTTACTGGAGCTGGAGTGAGGGTGGCTCTGGGGGTGTCAGAGATGGATCTTCTCAGGTGGGCAGGGTGGGTGGGAGTGGTCCATATTCCTTCTCCTGTCCTGGCTCCTCACAGCCCCTAGCTCTCCTTCCCTTCCTGGCCCCTGCACCTCTCTGCTGAGGCTCCCCAACTCTGATTAGTGCCTAGCTGGTTGTGCTGGTGTGTGGTGTGGTGTTTTGTTGTTCTCAGCTGACTCAGTCAGGTGGGAAGCAGGTTTCATGCTCTGAGGTAATTGCAGCATCCGCATGCAGGGATTGGGACAGCTGTGGCCAACACCCCAGGGCACTGGGGAGCTTAAGATTCCTCTGGGGACTCATCTGGGGCAGCCCTGCTTTGTGCATCATCTCTGCTTCCTTTGTCCCCACTGCCCTGGGCCCTAGCAGGTGGTCCTTGCTCCCCAGCACCCAGTGTGTCTGGGAAGGAGTTCAGGGAAGGTGGCAGTTAATTGAAAGGCAGGCTTGTGGAACAATTTGTTGGGAAAGGAAGAGACCTGTTGCTGGTATGGGTGACTCATACCGTGGAGCCTGGTGACAAGCCCTCATTAGCAGAGCCCACAGGTATGGGGGAGAGAAGGAGGCAGAGGGTGTGTTAACAGGGAGCAGCCCCATGCCTATAAAGGGCTAACTCCTCCCAGGGCTGGGCTCAGGGCATGCAAGGCTGACTTGAGTTTTCTCAGCAGAGCAGTATTATCTTGCGGAAGGAAGAATTGCCCTTCCCTTGGCCTGACACAGTCTGGCTGCCCCATTTCCGCATCCTTCCTCAATTGACCAGATGGCCTTGACAGGAGAGAACAGTTGAGTGCCAGGGTCCTGCTGCCTTCTACCCTGTGCTCCAATCCTTCCCCATAGGTTGCCTGGGCCTTACTTTATGTCCCTCATCTGTGGAGGGGGCTGAGCCACATGGAGCCCTGAATTGTCAGCAGTGCTCTGGGCCAATCCTAGGTGGATGGGCTTGGCTGGGAGGGAAACTCTCCTCGGAGTTGCTGCAGCCTGAGAGAAAGGAGGAGGGGTGGGACTGTCAGGAGGAGCAGGGGAATCCGGGCTGAATAATACTCCCTGGTTCTGTATACCCCTTACTCGAAACCAGTTGGCCAGGGCCTGGCATCTTAACTCCAGCCACTCCCTTCTTATTCCCCAGGTCACTGACCACCAAACTTTCTTCCTGACTTATTCTATGACAGTGCACTAGCTTGGCATACCAGAGAACAGGGTTCCACAGATTTGGATGGGCTCGCTTCTGTGCCAAGTCAGGTGGACTTCACACTTCATACAGTCTCGGCTGTGCTGAGGGAGGAAGTGATTTAATTCCCACTGCAGACTTTATCAGGGCTTGTGGTTGGCAGCTCAGGGCTCATGGCACTGTAGAACTGCCTTTCCACCCCACAGCCTTGGCCCATTGAGGTGATTGTTTATTATTCTTTTGATTATTAAAATATAGTACTCTTTAATCCCCCACACTGTGCTGGCAAGATCATAAAAGAAAAGCCACAGGCCGTGCCCTCAGGAACCCTGGTGTGTACTTTTAGGTGGCAAGCTGGCCTCATGCTTGTTTCTCTCTCCTTCTAGAGTGGGGCTAATTGAGGCTGTGTCTAGGGTAGGGCTTCCTTCTGGGTCCTGGGCAAGAGCCAGACCACAGGGAAGATGGGTAGCTGGGATGGGGCAGTGCTCTTGCCTCTGCCTGCCAGACCAGAGTGGATTTCTACACCTCTGACAACTTCACTGGAGACCTGTGAGGAGTGGAAGCTGTGGGGTGGAGGAAACGAGTGTCAAATAATGAAGGAAATGAAGATAGTCAAGGGCCTAGCTAGAGCATGAGGAAGTGATTCACCCGGGAAAGATTAGCCAGAGCTGACTGTAGATGTGAACGGGAAAGGGGAGATGGGGATGATAACTGGTGGAGATGGGTTGAGAAGATGGCTTAGCAGCCAAAGGCGTACTTGCTTTGAAGGAACGTGGATGAGTTGGGATTACAGGTTGTCCAGGGACCCTTCCTTTCCAGGGCATCCTCCCTCCCTCACTCTGGACTGTAGCTCCGCCTAGGCCTTGTCCTTCTATTTTGGAGACTGTGGTGCTGTGTCTTGCTACCCTGACCCTTCCCTGTCCCACCTCTGTCCCTCAGGGCTCAGTATTGTCCGAGAGGGACTACGAAAGCCTCGTCATGATGCGCATGCGCCAAGCAGCTGAGCGGCAGCAGCTGATCACCCAGATGCAGCAGGAGGACAAGGTGGGGCAGCCCACGTAGCTTTCAGCCCTTCCACCCTCTTCTTAAATATCACCAATAAACTTTTTTTTTTTAAGAGTCTACCTCTATTGCATACATAGGTGTAGGGTGTTGACCTGCCCAAGTGTGGCCCTGGTTTCTGGGCTCTCCCTCCCAGCAGTGGACACACCCCCCAGAGAGGCACTTGGTGAGAGTCCCTGCAGAGAGGAGCAACCACTCATCACAGCCCTTTATTGGTCTGGACTAGCTACATAGAAACCACCTGCCCATCCTTGGGCCATGCTCTTGGCCAGGGACAGCCTGGCTCTTGCCAGACTCTCAGCCTCTGCATGAACATGGCCTCTTCCAGGGCCCCTGGCCGGAAGGTGGAGGGGCTGCTGAGAGCACCACGCAAAGGGCCTTGCCCGCCCTGCCCCCTGCTGAGGCAGGTTTCAGAGAAGGCCATTTATTGCCCAGTGGTGCTGGGCCAAGGAAAAATGATGATTTGAGAAGAGAGGGGCAGGGTAGTGAGGGAGGCAAGGGCTTGGGATCAGAGCTCTTGGCACCACTCAAGCGGTGCCCTGTCTGCTGCTCAGTGTGAAGGTCACTCCTTGTGCAGGCACCATACCAGCGTCTGGCCCACCCCTGTCATGCTCAACACATGGAAGCCCCTTCGTTCCAGCTTGTCCAGGACTATGCGAGGAGGGTCATTGACGTAGTACTCAAAACTGTGAACAGAAGGAAGAGAAGGGGCAACATGACGGGGTACACAGCACAAGCTCTTCATACAAAGCCAGTATCTGCTAAAGACCAGGCCTGGTCAGGAATACTCGTAACAGTGACTAACATTTGCTGGTGTCTTCCAAGTGCCAGGCTAAGTGCACATTCTCTGCCTCCTTCCTCTGCTAAGCACTGCATGCATTATCTCATTCCTTTCAACAACCCAAGGAAGGCACCATTATTGTTCCCATTTTATAAATGAGAAAACTTAGAGAATGTAAATAGCTTTCCCAATGTCATAAGACAATAGAACCTGTGTTAGTCTGATGAAGACCCACATGCCCTGGGCTGCTGCACTGTTTAGAGCAGCCTGCTCTCCCCAGGATCCTCCCTCAGGCTTCTAACCCTTCCTGCTGCCCTGGCTACCCTACAGTCCTGGAGCAACAGGTGGCCCCTAATAGCACCCGACTGGGTGCCACTCCCTATCACAGAGAATGCTTGGTTTCCCCTTCTTTCAGGGTGAATTGATTCTAAAGGGTCTTCAAGTAGATAAAGGGCTGAAGCCCCATTTTGGGCATCTCGAGACAAATGCTTCATGGCAAAGGGATGGGGTTGGCTTCCAACAATGACCCAAGCAGCTGGCACCAGCTCACCTCCTCTTTGCCCCTTTTGAATTGGTGCTCATTCTGGGAAGCCTTGTCAGGAATTCTAGCCTGTGGAGCCAGGGTTCTCCCTGCCTAAGGGTAAGGAGAGGGGCATAAAAGGAAGCAGCACTCACTGTTTAGACTAGGAGCTATGTAAAGGATGCCAAGAGAAGAGGCTGAGTCCCCAGGCAGCTGGATGAGCTGGAAGTAGGACCCAGGCTGCCTGCCCCCTATTTCTAGGGCTTAGCTTTGTTACTTAGCCAGCTCTTCAAAACAGAAACTTTTCCCTCTGTGCCTATCTTGATAGGCTCTAGCTTGGAGATAAGAAAACAGAGCAAGGAACAGCCCACTTATGCAAGTCTTATCCCGGGAAATTGGACTTTGTTCTGGGACTTTGTCCTGGGTCTTGACTTTATCCTTGAGCTCCCTGGTAGGACCAATGGGAAAGCTTCCAGAGCAAGCCTGGGGGGCTGTGAGACTGTGGGTGGGACCAACCCTACAAGAGGACAGAACCCCAGGAGACAGAGGGGCTCTGAGACTGGGCAGTGGCATTGTCCCTGGGCTTGGTGATGTGTAAGGGGAACAGGGACAGGTCTAGGGGCAACTGAGCAGAAGATACTTAAGAATGCCACTACTTACAAGTTGTTTCCCAGGACACTTCTTTTTGAAGCCCCCAGATGCCGCATCAGCTCTGGATCCGAGTACTCGTCGCCCACCATTGTGGGGCCCACCTCCTGCAAGGTAAGCCACAGAGGCTGCTTTGCTGGCTGCCAGGTAGAGGTGGAAGGTCTCACCTCTCCTTCCTCCCCTGCCTGCTGGCCCTGAGCCAGCTTCAGGTAAAGGCTAGAGGGGGTGGTAAGGGACTTTGAGGGCTGAGCACAACTGGGGAGAGGGTGGAACCAGTCGATGAACTGACGAAGCAATGTGAGGCTTCCCTAGCCACTCCAAGCTGAGCTAGGCAGTACCTGACTACTGGCACCTTCGTGCCAGGTACCACCACCTGTGTGTGTATCAGAATCACCTGGAGAACAGAGACGAAAACATGTCCACACAAAAACTTGTACAGAAATGTTTGTAGCAGCATTATTCATAATAACCAAAAAGTGGAAACAACCTAAATATTTTTCAATGGATGAATAGATAAATAAAATGCAGTATAGCCATATGATGTAATCTTATTTGCAAGAAAAAGGAGTGTGTGTTGATACATACTACAATGCAGATGAACCTTGAAATTATGTAAGTGAAAGACAACAGACACAAAATACCACATATTACGACAAAGTAGATTAGTGGTTACCTGAGGCTGGGGGACTGGGGCGCCGAGTGGGAGGTGGTGGCGGGAATGAGGAATGACGGCTAAGGTGATGGAAACGTTCTAAAATTGACTATAGTGATGGTTGCGCACCTCTCAATATGCTTAAAAACTGAATTGTACACTTTAGGTTGGTGAATTCTATGATATGTGTATTATATAGCAATAAAGTTGCTATATTAAAAGAATCACCCGAGGGGCACTGAATTCCCACACCCCAGGCTTAGAGTGTTTTAGGAAGTCTGGGAAGGGGCCCAGGGGACCACATTTTAACAATGACTAACTAGTTCTCAAACCGCTGCCCTAGGGCACTGCCAAGACCTCTCTTGTCCTGTGTTGCGCCTGCCTGTTTGTTCATTGATGGATCACTCAGGCACTGGGGAGTGGGAAGGGGCAGAGGAGCATCCTGCTGCCCAGCTTGGGGACCTAATCATACCATTCCGAAGCTAAAAAGTGCATTCCTTCTTAGACGAGGAAACTGCATTTAGATAAAGGGGAGTGACTTCTGACCCCTAAATGGAGTTCTCCCCACCTCTAACCCCATGGACAGCAGTCTCCTCTTTCTTCACGAGCAGGAAGGTTTTTTCTTTCCTAAAGCCTCAGGGACGGCTCTTACTCGAAGTGCCTAAGGATGCAGCTAGTGGCTGTGGGTGGACCAGGCACTTGGCATAGATGTTTTAGCGTCTTAGCATATCCTTTTCTTTTCCAAACCTCTTTTTCTCGGGTTATTTCACGGTTTTCCCCCTCTGCGGAGCAGGTCTGTGTAGGTCAGTGGGTATTGCACGTATGAGGCCAGGGCTTCCTGGGTCCCTGTCGGTGTTGGGCCCTCTTGTGGACAGGTAGAACAGGAGCCCCAAGCTCCGGGAGCTCGCTGGGTCGCGGGGACACACACACCTGGGCTCCTTCACGGCTCTGGAGGCACCGGCCGGCCAGAGCTTTGAGTCCCGAGATCCGGGCAGAGTCATTTCACCAGCCTCCCTCCTCGCGGCCTGAGGGCGCGTGTCCCAGGCGGTTTCTGGGCCCAGCACCCGCAGTGCTGCCAGGGAGGGAGGCTTCAAGGTGCGGCCATAGTCCCTGTGGTCCCGGCCCGGCCCTAACTCCAACTAGCCGGGCGGTGGTACTCACCATGCGGGTCTGAGTGCTGATGAGCAGGTAGGGCATCGTGCATGCGCTGCGGCCAGGCTCCCACCCTGGGCTTTGGGCTCGGCTGCGACCCCAGCCCCTTGGGCTCCGGGACTGCGACCCGCAGCCCCTAGTCCCGTTACTCTGGCTCTGGCTTGGGGCATTGCCTAATCCCAGGGCGCACAGCCGGTGACCGCCGCCGGCCAATCAGGAGCGGGCGCCGGTGACGCGCTCCAACACCCGGAGATTCAGGGCCCGCCCCTCCCCCAGGGCAGCGCACAGGACCTTGTGGCGCCGCTCGTGGTTTCCGTGGGCATCGAGCCTCATGGAGGATGTGTGTTGTACGGGTACGCTCTGGCACTCGAGGCCTGGAGGTGGGAATGGCCCCCCGGGCTTGGCTGGCTACCGCGGGCCGTGGCGCCAAGCGCGCGTGTTGACGTTGCGCCCTCTTACTGCAACATCTCCAGTAACAGGTTCCAAAGTCCTGCTGGTCCCCATTCCCCGTTCCAGTGAAGCAGAGCAGGGAGCAAATGGCGACCCTGCTGAAGCCTCCCAAGCTCCTGCCCACCGCACTCAGGGATGCCTCTAAAGCTTTTAGTGGATCCTCACTTCTCACCCCCAAGACACATTCTCCAGAGACTCCTTCAGCAGAGGAAAGACAGGGGTAGGAAACTTGTGGCTACAACTAAAATACCACCTCCGGTGCGCTGCGCATTCGCTCCTCTCCGACTGTAATTCCTAGCACAGCGGCGGGACCCTGCATTCCTGAGGCACTACCTGTAAAGCTGTAAAGGAACTAAGCGCTTGGCTGGATGCCAGGCCTGGGGGGAATTAAACCAACAGAATCTGGCTTTCAATTCAGAGAGCTTCCAGCGAAGCTAGAAAGATGTGGCGCACACGCAGATCACAAGGCAACACCCAGGGCAAAACAAACAACCATCCCCGCACCAGTCACCTATGAGAGGGCAGCGAGTTTGCTTTGGTTCGTCCATGCCCTCATCTGGATGTATCAAAACCTGACAACTCAACATTCTTTGTCTTGTTGTGATTAGTTCTTTAAAAAACAAAGCAAAACAAAAACAGCCTGTAACCTGCCTGCCCAGCAATTGAAAAATTTTGACTTCACTTAAGGTCTCTTATGGGGCATGCCCTGTGCCTCCAGCACTTTGACATGTGGAGAGGGCTGTAAGGGAAATAGGAGTTGTAATCCTAAAGGATCCTTATTGGTCTAATTTATTATTCCGTACTCTCTACACCCCCCAACAATTTAGCTAGAGATAAGACATATTCATGCTTAACAAAGGATTTGTTAAACTAACAAAGGATTAACACCTAGAACATATCAAGAACTACAAATCAATGAGAAAAAGATAAATCAATAGAAGAAACATAGGCAAATTACTCAAATACGTACTTTTCAAAAGAGGGACTGGAAATGGCCAATAAACATGTACCATGATGTTCAGTATCGTTAGAAATCCCAGAAATGCAAATTAAGCTAATTTTAAAACAATTAGAAACTGTTTTAATGATTTACCAAAAACAATAAGTAAACATCAAGTATTGGTGAAGATATCTAACAACTGAAACACTACTGTTGGCATTGCAAATTGTTATGGTTGATGAAATTAACTTGCACCTTGGAAATAATTTGGCATTATCTGGTAAAGCTGCAGATGTGCATTCCCTAAGACCCAGCCAAACCTCTCCTACATAAACCTCAGGAAAACTCACTGACATGCATCAGGATACATGTATAAGAATATTCATAACAGCACTGTTTGTAATTAACAAAAAACTGGAAACAGTCCTATGTCCATTGAAAGTGGAGTAAGTTTTTGGTTGATTCTTTTAACAAAAGTTCTAGAAGAAGTTAAGAGTTTTATTCACATATGATTTGCAAATGAGAGAACGTAGACCTTGGTTTAAACCAGAGAGACATGTTCTGAGGTGGGAGGGAGAGAACAGGGTTTTTAAAAGGGATAAGTTGCTAGCAGGTGATCATCAAAGAGATAGGTTGCTAGAGGAAACAAGACCACAAACTTACATCATTCATTTTCTAACTGACGGGGGCAACTGACCCAGTAGTCATCAAGTGGGACCTGTGATACAGAACCATGGGTAACCGAGGATTAGCCATTTGTCAACGTCCTAGTTCTAGTCCAGGCTTATAGAACAAAGCTTATGGGTTACTCATCAACAGAAATCAAACAGCACAGACAGACTTTGTTCTGCAGGCAGTTTCCAAGTCCAAGGAGTAGAGTCATGCTCTGTAAGCAGCCTCAGAATTCAAACTGCAAAAATCTAAATGTTGGGCCACAGGTTATGAAATAAAGTTCTTGTAAATCCTTAATTCATACGATGGAAACTATATAGCAATGAAAATGCTCAGTGAAAAAGCAAATCTTGGAAAAACATAGAACAATTCTATTTACATAAAGCTCACAAACTTATAAAACTAAACAATGTATTGTTTGGGATAAAAATATGTGGTCAAATTATAAAGAAAAGTAAGGGAATGATAAATGTAAATTCAGGGAAGGGCTTATCTCAGAGAAGAGGATGGGGACAGACGTTGAGGCATCTTAAAAGGCAAAAGTGATGTTCTTTTTCTTATACTAGGACATGGGTACAAAGAGTTATAAATGTACTCAATCTTTAGATATGTATTATAAATATTCTTTTGTAGTCATTAAATAATTTATAGGAACAATTTAAAAAATATGAACAACTTTTTAAAGGGTCAAGTCTCTTAGAGGTTAAACACAAGGGATAGATAAAGCCACCATTCCAAGGCATTTGACTATGTTACTTCTCTTGGAAGAGCCAGGTAGATGAAGGTGTCATGTTCTGGGCAGAGAGCAGGACAGGAGTTTGGGGTCTGCTCTGCTTTTCTCTCTCAGACTGGGCTGTGGAGGGGTGGAGAGGAGACTGAAAGGCAGTGCTTATCTCAGGCTGCCAAGGCTTTATTACATTTGCAAAACTGGTCTGCAGATGCAACATAAGATAGAGAGCTTCATTCAGAATAACCCACCCCATTTCTGATTGCCCCTGGCAGCCACACACCCGGCAGATAGCATCTTTAATATCATGGGGGGGAAATGAATTTTCTCTCTTGGTCTGCCCATCTGGCTTTGCCTCTTGCCACAGTCAGTTTATCTGGCAGATCTTCCTCCCTTGTAAATAGAGGAGAAATTGTTTTTCCACAACTCAGCTTTTCATCATGAAAAGCATCGTCAAAGTGGCAGGGCCTGGATATTCGTCATTCCTTCTTTCTTTCCTTCTTCCATTCAGTTTTTATGGATGACTTCTACTTTAGAGCTGTGGTAGGCACAGGGGACATGGAGATGAATCAAGCGTGAACCCCGTCCTAGGAGAGTGAACGATCCAGTGGAGGTAGACAGACTAGAAAGCAAATAGTCATTAAATCAAGTGTAATGGAGGTAACGGAGCCTCAGGAGCAAAGGAAGATAAAAAGATTAATTTCATCAAAGCGGTGGTTTGGAAAGGTTTCCCAGAGGAAATGAATTTTTATTCCTTCCAAAATTAAGTTAATATTTTTTCTTATTACTAAAGAAACACATTCTTATTTCAGAAAAATGAGAAAAAAATACAGAAAAGGGATATTAAAAACACCTATGTTCAGTTGTTAACCTAAAAATAAAGGCCAAGTGAGGCAACAAGCATTTGAGATCAAAAAGAAAATTCTGGAAGCACTGATTCAGGCAGAAGCCCAAATGAATGTTCTGATTAGGAGACAAGGACAAGGGGTATTTATAAGAAAGGTGCACATAAGCTAACATAGTGATGCTAATCCTAAACAATGTTGTTAATTTTCAGTCCATAGTCATCAGTCCAATAGACAGAATGTTTACTTTCTTATCTTTGCAAAATGTTTTTTGGGTCACAGTTGCTTTAGGCCCAGTCCAAAGGTTAATTTACCCTGTTCAACATTCCAAAGGTTTGAGGCATAAGATATGCAAAACAATTCCTCTGGGATGGCAGCTCTGGCTCCATTTTAAAGTGGTTCCATTTTATTATTTTTTTTACACATTGCAGCATTATTTACAATAGCCGAGACATGTAAGCAACCTAACTGTCCACTGATTGATGAATGGATAAAGAAGATGTGGTACCTATATACAGTGAAATACTACTCAGCCATAAAAAGATAAAATATTGCCATTTGTGACAACATGGATGGATCTTGAGAGTATTATGTTGAGTGAAATAAGTCAGACGGAAAAGGACAAAACCCATATGATTTCACTCATGTGGAATATAAAACAAAAAATAACAAACAGAATAAAAACAAACTCATAGATTCAGACAACAGAATGGTAGTTACCAGAGTGGAAAGAGGGCGGGGGGAGGGCAAAGTGGATAAAGAGGGTCAAATATATAGTAACAGAAGGAAACTAGACTTCAGGTGGGGAGGACAGATGTCAAATTATAATCTTGTACACCTGATGTTATATAATGTTATTAACCAATGTTACCCCAATAAGTTTAATAAAAAATAAAGATTAGAAAACACTCTTTTCTCACAACCAGAACAATTACAATTAATTCTCTAGTGTATTTCAAGAGGTACTAATTGAAATGAATTCTTAAGAATTCTTAAGTAGGAGGTATTGGTGAAGTTCTATTCCTTAAGCTTTTATACCTCATTGCTTTTAAATTATTCTTTGCAATGTACATATACATAAAATGTAGTCGTATGTGTAAGTTAATATAATATCTAATCAAAGATTTGTAGAGGACTGATCTAGATATTTTGGTTGTCACTAAACTTAATTTTAACTCTTAAGAAATGCTGACAATAAAATTGGAATCGTAGTCTATAAAATTGTGTTTAGTTTCTAAAATTACAAGAAGTTGCATAAAATCATGAGTAAAATGGAATTACATAAAAATCTGTGGGCCATGGATAAGCACAGAAAAACTGATGAACACATTAAAACAACCTGAAAATGGTATCTGAACCAATTCAAGCAATCAGATCAATGCAAGTTTTAACCTCACTCAAATATTAAATTTTAACCTCACTCCAATGTTAAAAAATGTTATCATTAGAGGAACGAATTTCATTTACATTCTAGAAATGGAAAAACAGATTATAACCTTGTCCTTGGTTAATGTAATAACGACAATGTCAGGTTTAAGGTTTTGGTTTTTTTAACTGGCTGGGATGTGCATCTGAGTTTTTTAAGTGTATATGGTAAGAGTATTTAAGAAGCTGGCCCTAGGGACTCAGGGGCCTCTTATGGCTAACGAACAATTTATCTGTTCAAATTTGAACTGCCAGAGGCACTAGTGTTTAGAAAGTGGTTTGAGTGAAAATGCATAAACAAATTAAGCCGAAATCAAAGTCTGAGTTATGACAGTAAGGAAAGGTGGGAGAGGGTGGTGTTTCCAGGTGAAAATGGGTCATTCTAGGCAGAAGCAATAGTAGATGCGAAAGTAGAAAGATATTCTGGGACGAACAGATAATCTGGTGTAACGAGAGAAATGGAACCTCAGACTGCCAGCCCGTGGGAACTACTGCTCTGGTAACCGCCCAATAAGTCTGCTTTCCCCTTCTCCTTCTGGCTCCGTTCCCCTTTCCCGCCTCCTTGCTGGCTCCGCCCCTCTGGCGGCGCCCGTGGCCCCTCCCTCAGCAAATAACAGGGCCTGTGGCGCAGCCCGGAGTCGTCATCTCCCCGCGCCTTCCTAGCCGGGCGCGGGGCTGATGGCCCTGTTTAATGACGTCACGGCCATTGACAGCGAGGGGTGGCGGTGGCTGCTGTCATGGTGGAGAGCAGCCGGGTGAGAGTCTGAGTTTACCTCCTGCCAGGCCAGGGCACCTTCGAAGGGCGCAGGGGAGATCAGGAATTTGCGGCTAGGGCGGCGGGTTTGTGGTCTGCAGTGTCGTGAGGTTGGGGAAGGGTTTGGAGACCCAGAAACTCGACTGCCGGATCAGGACTAGGGGGCATGTTGGAGGGGAGGCTGGTCCACGCTGGGTGAAAGGTGCGGTTCTGGGGCACTAGGACTGGCGGATTGGGGTGAGGGGAGTCAGGAGCTCAGGGTTTGGGCAAGGAGGTATCTCCAGGGGTTCAGCATGGGGGTGGGTGGACCACACTCACTAATCTCTCTCCCCACGCCCGCCTGCTCCCGGTGGCACACGCGGGCTGCAGGCACATCATGTCTAGAATGGGGGCCTTGGGCGGCGCCTGCTCAGGACTGGGACTGCTGTTGGGCACCGCCGCAGGCCTTGGATTCCTGTGTGCCCTTTACAGCCAGCGGTGGAAACGGACCCAGCGCCATGGTCAAAGCCAGCTCCTGCCCAACTCCCTGGACTACACACAGACTTCAGAGCCCGGACGCCAGGGTAGGAACCGGTCCACTGAGGCCGCAGGCATGGCTGACGGATGGACCTGGGGTCCAGGCTGCCTTGCCTGTTGGACAGGACAACGGAGGGGGATGCCTGAGAATTTTCACCTTTTGGAAAGCTTATTGAAAAGGAAAGCAGTCTCCTTCTTCTGTACTCATTCCCCTATAATCCCAAGAGAGTATATCGTGAAAAGGCTGTTTAGCTTTCACTTTTAGTCCTTGCCACAGTAGAGCTCTATGTGTATTAAAGGCACTTGCTTAGTGTTGGGTGGGGTATTTAGTAAGTAGAGGAAGAGTCCAAAAGTAGGCAAAAGGAAACATTAGTCTTGTAGGAATTAAAAGTCCTGAGGTTTACATATTAATTGCGTATTAGAATTTGAAGGGATCTTGAAGACTAGTCCAAGTGTTTCTATCCTCCTTATGATGAAATCAAGATTTAAAAAGATTGTGTAACTATTCTGAGGTTGTCACATCGCAAGTAAGTGGCAGATTGGGCCTGGTCACCTTGTCCTGTGGACTTTCCACAGCATGGGGCAGGGAATGCACTTACTTCACTTAGAATGAAGCTGAATATAGTTGAAAGCCAGCCACAGCTGAAATGGGTAGTGCTTTTAGTTTTGCAAGACTTTCATATTAAATTAACTCATTTGAGCAGAGTATCTAGGGCTTGTTTAAACCTCATGTTTGTGTAACAGAGGAGCATTCAGATCATCTCACCTCATGTTAATTGGGAATGAGTGTTTTATCTGATTACCAAATGCCAGGTGGTTTAGATAGTTTTAGGAGTTTTCAAAGAATTATCACCTTAGATTGAAACTGTCAGCATTTTATAACCTGGTAGTAAGCTAGTGTTGCAAGTGTACTTGTCTTTCCTTCCTTTTCCTTGTATTTTGTTTGTAATTTCTTAGCAGTGGTCTTTCTTTGGCTGAGGTTGGGAGAAAGTACCTATGTTCCCAGGGGTCTTTCTTGCTCTACATTCTTGAACACAGTTGAGTGTGTATTGTAATCTGGCCTAGATTGTTGTTAGATTTTCTTTAACAGATTTATGTTTGCTTGACTGGGGGTCCTGCCTTCCTGGTTTCTTTCCTGTTTTCAATTTTCCAGTATAATTGTCTTAGGTAGCTATTAGTTTACTAGCATTTACTGTGGGAATTTACCTAGATCTCAATGCAGAGCTTGTTTTTCCAATGTGTGTGGATGGGCTTTTCCCAGGATACTTTTCTCTCAGTAACTGTCCCTTTTCTCTTTGCCACTCTCTGATGATACTAAATGAAGTTCTTGAGAGGAGTTCAGAGTTTCCTTTGCTATTCTTTGTGAAGTAAAAGCAGAATTTGAGTGAGCTCAGTTTTGGTTTGGCTGTGTAGTTGATATTGACTGGTTTTATATTTGACTGGTATATAATACATAAATTCATATGCATTTGTGCATTATATACAGGCATACCACTTTTTATCATGCCTTACTTTATTGTGCTTCACAGATATTGCATTTTTTTTTTCTCTTCAAATTGAAGGCAAGACCCTCCACCAGCAAAAGATTATGATTTACTTTACTGCGATACTTGACTCATTGCGGTGGTCTGGAACCAAATCCTCAATATCTCTGAGGTATACCTGTAGCTAGGAAAAGGTTTTTCTTTAACAGGGCTGCTGTCCTGCCTTTGAAAAGGTACCTCGTTTTTGCAAGAATTTTACATTATCTGCTGTGGTGTGCAGTACTGCTGAAGGCCCTGCTGGGGAAGGTTCTTAGAACAGAGGGCTCTTGTTTAGAGATTGGGACCTTGTTGTTTTTTCTGGATAGTTACTTGGGACTCATTACCAGGACTTAGTTCTGAACATATGCTTTCTGAGCTGTAAGGGTCTTTGTAAATTGAACTCCAAAGAGTAGCAAGTGTTTTTGAATTCTAGGTGCAATATCTTTTCCTCATGGGCATCACTGTCTCTTGTCCTCCTTCCTTCAGTGAGGCCATTGCGGGCAGTCCCAGGTGAGGCTGGAGATGCTGCGGTGCTGCCCAGCCTTCCACGAGAAGGGCAAGAGGAGATACTGGACCGCCTGGACTTTGTGCTGACCGGTCTAGTGGCACTGCGGCGGGAGGTAGAGGAGCTGAGGAGCAGCCTGCAGGGGCTTACTGGGCAGATTGTTAGGGAGATACGGTGAGTAATGTGGCCTCCTCTCCTCCCAGCTTTTCACTGCCTCTATAGCTTTTTCAGCTGAGCTGTGTTCTGCCCTTTGCTGTCTGTCTCTAAGGAGGAAGCCACCTTTATAGCTTTTCACCTAACTGGCAGGGAAGCTGTAGGCTTGGTACCTTTCTTTGTATAACTTCCTAGCTGCTTTTGGGCCCTCATGGTCTGTCATAACAGCTGAAATGCTTTGTTCTATCTAACCTGGTCTGCCCATGCAGGGTGGGTCCAGAAACCTGCCCTTGTTCTTTTGAGTGGAAAGACCCAGGATTTTCTCTGCTCTTGGCCCTTTAATGAGGAGTAGTAGTAAGACGCTCCCTCATGGTGAGAGGAAGGATAGGCTGGATGGGGCCTAATGCTACCCTCTGGAAAGATCAATGCCACCTTGCTTTTCAGGTCCCACATGGAAGAGAACCAGAGAGCGTCTCGGCGGCAAAGGTTCCCATTTGCCCGGGAGAGGAGTGACTCCACTGGCTCCAGCTCCGTCTACTTCACGGCCACTTCGGGAGCCACATTCACAGATGTAGAGAGCGAAGGCGGGTGAGTTGTCTCTTCTGGAGGCAGCTGTGGCTCCAGCCAGGTTACGTTTTGTAAAAGTAAGTTTATCAGTGGAAAATTCACACCAAGCTGCTCTAAGTAACTTTTGGAACAAGATAAGGGTATGAATAAATAAAATACTGTACAGCTGAAATAAGAAAAGTCATCCACTTTATGTCATCCAGATGAACAGAAATTTTAACAATGGCTATTGCTTGCATCTGTTTTTTTTCCTCTCAGTAGGTTTGTTTTTTACATAGTTGTATTTTTTATTTCTCTTTTCCTGTAACATTAGTTGGGCATTTACTTATGTTATCACAGGACTTTATTTCCTTCACCGAGTGGCAAAGCCAGGTTACAGAGCTCTCTTAGCACAGAGTGTGCTCCCCTCTCCTTAAAAGTTCTCCTCTTCCCACAGGGCAGGCTTGCTCATGCTCCCTTGCCAACTGTACGGGTGGGATGTGACTGTCCCGAGTAGTTGGTGGCCCAGCAGATCTGAGCACAGGCTTTACTGTGAGACAAGGGCAGCAGGCAAGAATCTTGTGGACTCTAAACTTGGTCAGACTCAAGGCTTTTCATTTTAAACCACTAGTGCCGTTTTGAAATTTTGGTCCCAAGCATAGAGTCTAAATGAATATCTTTGTGGTGGTGCCTGATGCCGTCAGTGGCAGCATCTGCCCTTTGCTGCTAGCTCCAGTCATCCAGGTGGCCTGCATGAGGTCTAAAGGCTGATCTCTCTTTGGTGGCCTCTGCAGACCTTTATTCTTCCTTAAGGAAAAGATAGGCACAGAGAACAGCCAAGCCTTCTGTCAGGTCAGAATGGCCAATTTAGCTATAAACATGCACAATGATCTTTGCAGCATTGTCTCTCTTTAGCTGAAACACTTTATAATGTTAACTACCAGTTATTCTTCCTTTGTGACAGACATTGCTTAGCACTTTAGAGGTATCTCCTCACTTAATTCTCACAGGATCCTGTGGAGTAGGTGCTCCTTTTCTCCATTTCTCAGAGAAGACTTGAGGCTTAGCGATGTTCGTTGCCTTGCCTCGGGTTGTACAACTGCCAAATGCAGGCTTAGCCGGGCTCATCTGCAGGCTTAGCCAGGCTCAGCTGCAGCAGTGTGAGGGTCTGCAATCTGAGGCATGGCTTGGTCATCAGGGCACAGAAGGGCTTTCACAGGAAAACATGTCGCATGCAGCCCTTGAGAATTCTTCCCGTTGACTAAGAGCTGCCACAGCTCACTGCCCATAGCAGTGTGTTCAGTATATCTTACTCATGAGATTTCAGCCTTGTTTTCTTGCTTGGGCCATTGTATTCTACCTGTCCCTCATTTGGTTTTCTAAGAAAATTAATAGTATTACTCTCTTTTTCCATGTCACTGCTATTGGACAGCTGTGCTGGATTTTATTATTGCTTAGGTGTCTCCTGAAACAAGTGAAGTCTTGGTAAAGAGCTTAGTCCTCCATCCATGACTACTGATGCCTGGGTTATCTGACCTCTGTTATCTGTATTCTTAAGGGCTAACAGAAGTGGCCCTTTTTAATTTACCTAATAACTCTGGGCTGAGAGATGCTTCCAGAGGGCTGTTTTAGAGGAGGGGCAAAAATAAAATTAATATTTGACACATCTGGATTGAAAGAAGGACAGAGTAGTTGTTAGTGGGCCGAGACTTAAGGAGCATCTCTATGCAACCCAAAGAAACAGGTCACTTGGATGGAGAATTGACATTTGAACTTTGTAAGATGGTTGAACAGGAGAGGTCACAGCTCTGCCCAAGATCAGGATGTAGACTCAAGACCTTAATGATTTTAAAAAGTGGTACAAATTTTTATGGGCAGTGAGAGCCGATATGTTTAACCAGAGAAGCTTGTGGGTGCTCACTGGGGCTCCCAAGGCCACAAGGGGCAGGACAGGCCTTCCAGCCACCTGTGATGGGATGGGAGGAAGGGTGACTTTCTTAATTAAACTCTAGCAGGCTCAGCCCCATGACAGATTGTGTGGCATGTGGAAGCTAATGGGTTATGTGATGCAAGACTCGTTTAGCTGGGTGCCATCTAGGGCAGTGGCCATAGTGAATAATTCTTTTTGCCATGGTCAGTGCCATGTAGGTCAAGGGGGAATTCTGGGAGACCACAAACTCTGGAATGCGGGCCTGGAGGAAGGAGCACCTCATTGAGGGATGAAAGAATAAGAATTTTTGATGGGCTATTCTCCACTAAAAGCTGTATTCCCATTTTCTTAAAAAAAAAAAAAAAAAAAAAAGCAACTTTGAGCTCCCAGGGGATCGACTGAATGTGGCAGAGGCAGAATCACTGTGTGGGTCCGTGAGCTTGTTTCCTGAGCATTGTACCAGACACAGCTTTAGTCCCTTCCCTGTTAAAACTCAACTTGCTCTAAAACACCAAATCCTCCAGCAAGCCTTCCCTCCCAGGTGTCCCAGCCAAGAGAGGTTGCCTGTAACCTCATCTTCTTCTTGGGCAATTAAACAGAAGGGCCACCCTCTCTCTCTGGTAGATTTCTCCAAGGGCTAGGTTGGTGATGTAAGAGGTGTGAGAACATGATGTGAATGTAGAGACAGCAGCCCATGTAGCTCTAGCACCTGATCAATCTCTTAAGCCCTAGAAGCCCATGGGGCTGGTGTTGGTACTCAGCAAGTGTTTGCCTGCTCACTGTGTGCCAGGCAGTGGGGCTGTAGATTAGTGAGGCAGAGATCCTTGAAGTGGGGCTGAGGTGCAAAAATAGGCCTTCTCACCATGCCGCCTTGCTAGAGCCTCCCTGCCCCACAGGGCTTTACCAGCTTTCACTGTGGATGGCAGTAAGCCTCCTCCTGACTTCTCCTTTTCCTTCGCCTTTAGGACCCAAAGGGATCACAGCATTGCAGGAATTTCCTCCTGGCTCAGCTCCCTGGAGAGACTGTGCTGCTTGCTGTCTGTATTCCAGCAGGGATAAGAACAGGGGTCCCTCCCTGGGACATTCCTGATTTGAACTGATTGGCCAAGGCAGTCTTCAACCTAGTAGGGAATGGGGCCTTCCCTTCTTTCTAGCAATGGAAAGAGATGAGACTCAAGTTCTCCATGCCAGATAACCTATTCACCCATTTAACTTTGGGCCTGGCTGGGCTGAGTAGGAGCAAGTTATTGTCCAGGGCTTAGGAACTGGTTGAGAGTTTCTTTAGGCTACCTGTGGTCTCACTCATCACCACCTAGGTTGGTTGTGAAGATGATGCCACTTTCCTTGTCCCTTAAATTTGTGAAGTTTTTACTGCAAATTGCTAGAGGGGAAGGATACTTAGATAACCTCTTAAAAAGCAAGACGAAATTAAGGTTTGAAATACCTTACTAGTTCCTGTAATAGATGTTAACTGGAGCCCCTTTGTTAGATGATTCTGGAAGCTCCTTGATAAAGCAGGAGTCAGCATGGATTGGGCACCAGATATGGTTGCTCACTTGGTACCTTCTGGATGGAGCCTGCTTGTCGTCTCTGGCTTTCTAGCCTACGACATTCGGCCCCTGACTTTAGGCTGTCTTGTATTTTGTTTGTAGGTATCTCCCTCATCTCTCCTTCAGTTGTTTTGCTTCAGCCGTAGGGATCCTGCTCCTGCTTTCATTCCAGGATGAAGTCTTATCCCTAAATGACCTTAAGATCTTCCCTCTGCTTCAGAACCTTCTGGCTTACAGAACCTGCTTTTCCTGCACTCAGTCTGGAGGGCTCTCTAGTGTCTGGTTCTAGCTCCTGGAAATCTTACCTTCTGCCCTGCTCAATTTTTGTCTGATTGAATTCGCAGTTAGGAAAAACATCCCAATCAGCTGCTGCTGAAGGCTGAGATCTGAAACTTGGCTTCCTCTTTGGCGGGTACACCAAAGTTGGGGCTCCCTAGGAGACCCCTGGCTTATGGTGGCCCCAGAGATACCTGCCCAGGGGTTCTGTTTGCATCTTTCTCCTCTCATGCTTCAGCTACAAGTACCCCGCCCCAGCAATTCCCAAGGTTTCCAAAGGCTACTCCTCCTGCAGTTTAGGTTTGGTGGCTGACTTGGGAAGAGATCTCTGTTGAATTGAGAAAGAAAATGTGGATATTTGTGTCTGCCCATGGCCTCAGAGGCTAGCATCCACCCATGTTGGTTCTGGCAGGTGTCTGGCTGATAAAGCAAAAATGATTGACAGACTCTAAGCCTGGTGAGCCATTTATCTCAGGAGATCAGCTCTATGTACATTAAGCTTTTTATCTTAAATGTTCCTATTTTATTTTTTAAGACTATATGCTCACTAAAGCGGTCATATATAATATTAAGAGATAGAAAAATAATTACTTTTAATCTTTCTATCCTGGGATAGAAACATTTTGGTACACACCTTTCTAGGCTTTTTCTTTTTCTCTATTTTCTGGCCTACTTGGTGGTAGCTAAGCAGGGGGTTCTCATATTGGCCTGTCACAGCACCCCAATTTGGTCAGTCACTGTCCCTCCTGGATCGCTTTCCTAGCCCATAGTTCCCATAGGAAACTTTTCTGTACGACTAATTTTTGCCCTTAAGTGGGGGGAATAGTTCTAACTTGGTGCTTTAGACAAGGCCATGGAGAGTCCCTCTTGGTGGAGGACAAACCTTAGATCTCTAAGGCTGAATAATCCCCTCCCTTCACTCTATCATTTACATTTCTCTGCCACAGTTACACAACAGCCAATGCCGACTCTGACTATGAGCGGGACTCAGACAGGGAGAGTGAAGATGGGGAAGATGAAGTGAGCTGTGAGACTGTGAAGATGGGGAGAAAGGATTCTATGGACCTGGAGGTAGAGGTGGCTTCAGGCCCAGTGCCCAGAGCCCTGGAGGCTGAAGGCTCCCCTGGCCTGGAGGATGTGCTGCCTCTCCTGCAACAGGCAGACGAGCTGCACCAGGGCAGTGAGCAGAGCAAGCGGGAGGGCTTCCAGCTGTTGCTCAACAACAAGCTAGCGGTGAGGCTCCAGCTGCCTGTGTGTCCTCCCTCCTGACCTCTGCTGCCCACTGTGGTTACTGACCCTGCAAGGTGACAACGGAAGGGAAATGAGAGTGAGATGGCTGGTTCTGCACCTACCCGCCAGGGTTGTACATCCTCTCCCAAGGGGGCTAATCACTGTCCCAAGGGGCCCAGGTTTACCACCTCCCAGGTTTCCTCTGCCTCCTATATAGTTCCACCTCCCACAGCAGAGGGAAATGTGGAAAGAACTGGCATGTCCTTTTCTTCTTTTCCCTTGAGGCAGAGACCAAGGTGCCTGCCCTACTTGAAGTTCTCAGCATGATAAATATGTAGGTTATTCAACCACAATCCCTTTTCAGGTTCACTGCCAGAATTTATGCTCACCAAGGTATTAATGCCTCCAAAGTTAGAATGCCCTCCTTTCTTGGGCATTTTCACATTTTTTTCATTTTGTCAGCAAGACTTCTTTTGCTGTCTTGTTACATCTTGGAGTTGGCCTTTCCTTCCTTACAGTAAAGGCCAGAATGCCCTCACTCTGTAGATAGTGCAATCTACAGGCTAATGTATGGCAAGTTAACTAATTGAACAAGGGAGGCTGTGTGGGGGTGGAGGACTGTGTATAAGGCTGGCCCAATGTCAGTCAGCATTTCTAACACGCTAGCTTGGAAATTCAAACCAAAGCGTGGGCGGGAGGGGTGGGTGGGGGAGGCCAGAGCCCCAGTTCTTTGTGGCTGAGGGTAGAGGGGCCTCATCCCTCTCCTTTTCGTCTGTAGTATGGAAGTCGGCAGGACTTTCTCTGGCGCCTGGCCCGGGCCTACAGTGACATGTATGAGCTCACTGAGGAGGTGAGCGAGAAGAAGTCATATGCCCTAAATGGTAAGTGCTGACAGCTTCCTGGTGGGAAAGTGACTGACTGTGGAGGTGGAGACAGCTCATTTGGTTGGGGCCCAGGAGAACCACCAAGGTATAGACTGTCAGGGCCTTTGTGGCTCAGTTACTCACTAGGGATAAAACTGGCTCCCAAAGACCCCTGCTTCCTTGAAATGGATCACAGTCTCTGCTTCTCTGCACATGGTGGTAACACAGGTGCACGTTTTTAGGAATATCTGTATCATATTAGCACAATTTTTTGTTCTAACTCCCCAAACACAGAGTTGGCAAAACCTCCTTAATCTGAAGTTTGTTTGTGTTTTTAGAAATCCCTGGGATCTACTTAGCATTTCTCTTGCTAAATCTATACCCTGAGGGATAGGGTGTATCTGACTTATGCCAGGTTCAGGGCTTGTCCCTGTCTGGTATGAGGTCACTGAGATTCATGGGTAAGATGTCTAGCTACACACCTCTCAAATCATGCACCATCAGTGAGTTTCCAGGTTCAGTTGTCTAAAGTGGATTCATTTACTTTCTCACTTTTAAGTACAGCCTTGCAAACATTATTGAATCTTTGATAATGCAGAATCTGACAGTACCTCCAGTGTTCACTCTGGAGGTAGTTCTAAACAAGTGTAGAATTAGAAAGTCATGTAGAAAGAACAGGCCAATTAAGTTGAATGTTTATTGATATGGATCTTCAGAAAAATCCCTGGAAATTTTATCTAAAGGTGCTTAAGGCTTACTTACCATTTGCTTCTTTTTTAAAAATTTCTGCTTTCCTTTCTAAATTTCAGGTGAGGGTTCTGATCAGCTTTGGGTCTGATTTTTGGTATCTACAGGAACTGTTCCTTTCCCTTTGATCATTGATCATTTATTAGTACTAGTAGCCAGGAAGAACCCTGAGGGTGGAAAAACAGCCATAGCCAGCGCTGGTCTGGTCTGGCTTCTCAAGCTTAGCACCCTGGACAGATCTGTTCTTGCTGGAGATCAGATGACTGTAGAGCATACTGGAAGGCACTGCTCTGGGACACTAGCTTTTTAGGACCATATTTGCTGGGTCTAAGGTTCTTCATTTTGTTCTATCTCTAGAAGGCAGACTGCCAGGAGGCAGCCATTCTGTGGGATCTCAGGTGACATTTGTTCACCCCTATGTCTAGCCTAGCAGGAACTGGTTCTCATTCTTCCTATTATTTTCCTAGTGAGATAGTGTTTTGAAAAGGGCAGAGAGAAATCCCCTAAAAGACAGTGTCCCTCACTGGTGGTGCCACATGGTCCTGTTAGCAAAGGGGGATGTAAGGGTCTCATCAGCTATGTTAAAAATGTATTGGTTGCATATACATTATACCATAATTACTGAAACATTTCAAATTAGCCAGCCTATCATCTCAACATATTACTTTTGTTCCATTTTCTCCATGTTTCCTTCCAAGCCCTCTCCATTTTAATCAAAGAAGTCCCATTTTGCAGGGTGCTATTTTCTCCAGTGTGTAGGCATGATGGTCCTCTGGAGGGCTCTCGGCTCCTTGACATTCTAGGGGACCACTGTCAGGAGCATTCATGTATTTAGGCCTTGATTTCTTTTAGTCTTGGTGCCTAGAATACTTAGGTAAGACTAAGTGAAAGTGATCTCTGGTCATACCTCAGTCCATTTGGTTCTGATGAAGAGCCTAGAGCTATGACTGTTTTTGGATCATGGATTCTTTTAAAAATTTTATCAAAGCTGTGGACCCTCTCCTCAATAAAATGCATGTGTACCTAAAATTTAATACCACAGAGGGATTCACGGATACCCAGAAGCCTGTCCAGTGACTCCAAATCAAAAATCCTCCAGGGTCAGGTCTGTTGGGGACAGTTTCAGATTAGCGTTGGGCCCTTTTATATTTGAAGTGCTATGAGCACATCAGGTGGGTGTTATAAAAACAAGGTAGCTGGGGCAGCTGATGAGAGATAGGGAAGGTGAGGTGAAGCAAAAGTCATTCCGGAGAAGCTATCTGCAGCTTTTTCATTCTGCTCAAGTTCACAACTATTTCCAAACAAGTCCAGGTTGGTAAGCCTTGATGAGAGCTGGAGCAGTCATTCTTCCCGCAGCCCCTTTGCAAGTGTGCTTGGGAGCGCCTGTCAACTCTGGATCACCTTTGTCCTACAGGAAAAGAAGAAGCAGAGGCTGCTCTGGAGAAGGGGGATGAGAATGCTGAATGTCACCAATGGTAATTAACATCCTGCAGGGTCCTGGGGAGAGCCAGCATGGGTCAGAGTGGAGAGTGGGCCCTTTCTTTTCTTCACCCTGGCCTCAAAGCATTTGCCAGAGGAACCAGGAGAGGGAGCTCTGGCCTTTATTTCCGTATGCCCTACCCAGCCCCCCTGCTGGGGACCCAGAGAAGTTTTCTTTGGGAGGTTCCTTAGGGGTGAGGCAGGTGAGAGAGTACAAGCTATTTTTCTGTTGGGGCTTGGAGAAACAAGCAGCTTTGTGAGTCACCCTAGTTATAAAACTTGTGGATTCTTGGCTCCTCAGGGAGGCTAAGACAATTTGCAGTTTCTCTCTCTTGCACAACCTCCTCTTTCCCCTCGCTGTGATACCTGGCTGGCAGTGGGCTTTGCTTCTTTGCTTGGCTTGCATGAGGAAAAGTGGATGTGAGTTCACCCCCAGGAAGCTCAGTAGTCAATTTATTAGCTCACAGAAACAGCCGTTTGTGGTCTCATGAGCGCCAAAATTCTGCCAACTTGTGTGGATCAGGGCCAACTTGTCTTGGGGCTTGGTTCCAGCACTTCAAAGTGTTAGTGAAAATGTTCCTTTCCTACCTCTCCCCCTGCTTTTCTTATTTCTGCCCTCAGATTGCGAGCTGAGAGGCTGTTTAATCTGTTGCTGAAACTATTTCTGCAAGGGCTCTTCTTAAAGGCCAGGTCATTGTTTCTTGGGTGTCACGGGTGCTGCTTCACTTGGGAACTCCCAGGCTGCCAAGGATGGAAATTGGCCTCATGCTTTCTTAGCTCTTCTTGGGGAACAACTCTTTGGACTAAACATGAAAATAAGCCTCTGGAAGAACCTGACAAAATGCCTCCCAGATATTTAATGCATATATGAAAAAGCAACTTGGGCCTTTACATACTCATTTAATGTCAGCTTCTAGATACAAGGCTGGAGGGATGGGGTAATGAGACCTTTTTTTTTTT